TGTTTAACCCCTTCACCCCCAAAGGCTTAAATCAAGGCAGCCCTCTCTGGCACCCGCTCAACAGCTGTCTAACAACTTTGGCATCAACACACAGTGGAAAGCCAAATAGGCTGCTGAATACCCAGATACAGGCAGTTACGTAGATGACCCTACACAAAAGGTGCCAGGTTTTAACCTTCCTCGCCAGCATTGGTCAACTCTGAACAGGATCTGTACCCAGCATGGTATCTGCCAAGACTCGTTATTTAAATGGGGTCTTGACTCTACCCCTCAGTTGACTGTGGATCTCCTCAACAAAACATCCATCACATTGTGTCCAAATGTCCATCAAGAGCTTACACCAGCCCAATGTCTGATTTATTTTTCAACATAGACCACCCTGTCCTTGAATAGCTGGGTGGACTGGACATTAACATTTGAACCACTATAAGTTCATGTATTTGCCATACGCTAAATGAATAAATAAACTCCCAGCTGATCTTCCACTGGGAAAGGCCTTTCCTGAACACTTGTTCTCTCTGCAAGGAAACATATATATGTGTTTGGATCCTATTTTTTTTCCTCTGTGGAAAAATAGTTTCCAAACCACAAACATCGGGAGTGGACAAAATTAATTACATTGACTTACAGATTGTATGCAAGTCATTCTTAGGGATGCAGTGGCTCAGTGGCTAAGACACTAAGCTCAGAAAGGTTGGCAGTTCAGTGGTTCGAATCCCTAATGCCGGATAATGGAGTGAGTTCCCGTTACTTGTCTCAGCTTCTGCCAACCTAGCAGTTTGAAAGCATGTAAAAATGCAAGTAGAAAAATAGGAACCACCTTTGTTGGGAAGGTAACAGCATTCTGTGCATCTTTGGCATTTAGTCATGTTGGCCACATGACCCTGGAGACGTCTTCGGACAGCACTGGCTCTTCAGCTTTGAAATGGAGATCAGCACCGCCCCCTAGGGTTGGGAACAACTAGCACATATGTGTGAGGGGAACCTTTACCTTTACATTCTTAAGGCTGTCATTTATTCTCCTAGCTTTCAATATAATATAGCATAGTAAGGACTTGGGAAGGGGGTATTCAAAGTCCCAATTTTTTTTTTAAACAATGATTGTAAAGAAAAAAAGGAGATTGGGCTTTCATTGTGCTGTTTCAGCTGCTGTCTTTGAATTTTTGTGGCAGATGTCTCAGGAGGGGTACAATGCCCTGAGGGGAGGAGCTTCCCAGGAGTGCTATTTATTATATTTATATATTCATATTTTATTCCACTCTTATTACTTTATTAATAACCTAAGGAGGCAAACTTACGACTTCCTCCTCCTATTTTCCTCACAATAACAACCTTGAATTGACTTGAGAGATTGGCTGGCCCAAAGTCACCCACCTGGCATTCAAGCCTAGAACTCACAGACTCCTAGTTATTGACCCAATGTCACTCAGCTGGCATTTATATGTAAAGCAGGACTAGAAATCACAATCTCCTAGTGATTGGCTCAAAGTCGCCCAACAGGCTTTCATGCCTAAGGCAGAACTAGAACTCACAGTCTCCTAGTGATTGACTCCAAGTCACGCAGCCCACTTTCATGCCTAAGCACAATGGTGGGATTCAGCCAGTTTGCACCCATTCGGGAAAACCGATTGGTAACTTTCTAAGTAGTTCAGAGAACNAGATGTTGGATAGCCATTTGTCTGAAATGGTATAAGGTTTCCTGCCTAGGCAGGGGGTTGGACTAGAAGACCTCCAAGGTCCCTTCCAACTCTGCATTGTATTGCTGCAGGCTACTTCTGCTGCCTGCCGGCTGCCTGCAATTTAACAGTTCGAATCTCACCAGGCTCAAAGTTGACTCAGTCTTCCATCTTTCCAAGGTGGGTAAAATGAGGACCCAGATTCTTGGGGGCAAGATACTGACTCTGTAAACTGCTTAGAGAGGGCTGTAAAGCACTGTAAAGTGGTATATAAGTCTAAGTGCTATTGCTATTGCTATGAATCTACATAGGCATATGAAAAAAGTGGGTAGAACCTGGAAATCATTATATTCCACATGCTATTTCCTTTTCTAAAAATCTAGGCAAATTCATTGCAGTAATTTTCCAGGTATTTCTGGAAAGAAAGATGAAGCCAATGGCATACATAGTTATGCTGGGAAACAAAACATAGCCCAGTGTGAAGAAGTGAATGGGGCTGCAAAAATGCTGAACTGTATTCAGTGAAATTAAATACTATTCATGTGACTTTTCTCATTTTTAATAATGTTCTCATTTTGTCACATTCAGAATTAGAATTGTTGGTGACCAACTCTAGGATCTCAGATTGATTGATTGATTGATTGATTGACATGATTTGCCCATCTTACTAACATGATTCTGGGCAGCTAACACAAATTTAAAAACAATATACATACATACATACATACATACATACATACATACATACATACATACATACATACAAAACCACTCTCGTGAATTGTTGTTGTTAGTTGCGAAGTTGTGTCCAAACCATTGTGACCCCATGGACAATGTTCCTCCAGGCCTTCCTGTCCTCTACCATCCACTAGAGTCCATTTAAGCTCTTGCTTACTGCTTCAGTGACTCCATCCAGCCACTTCATTCTCTGTTGTTGCCTTCTTCTTTTGCCCTCAATCNGGCTGGCATGACTAAACGTGGTCCCTATTTTTCTACTTGCATTTTTATATGCTTTCAAACTGCTAGGTTGGAAGAAGCTGGGACAAGTAACGGGAGCTCATTCCGTTATGAGGCACTAGGGATTCGAACCACCGAACTGCCGACCTTTCTGATTGACAAGCTCAGCATTTTAGCCACTGAGCCACAGCGTCCCTTTATTAAATGTATAAGCTGCCCGTGTTAAATCTGTATGCTGGTCAACTTTCAATGACTCTGCTTTAGATAGTTTAAAGCATTAAAAAATGAACAGTACAAAATACACAAAATCCATCCAAAACAAAGTTACAGAGATGACACCCCACCCCACCCCCCCCCCCAAAAAAACCCAAACCTGGTTGGAAAAAAGAAAGAAAGAAAAGGGATGTCACTCATCCTTACCAAAGACCTGGGCAAAGAGCTATATCTTCAAAACCCTAAAAAACAATAGGTTCATTCCAGATGGCACATGGCTGGGCTCCCAATGGGTGGCATTGCTTAATTGATGCCCACCTTGCCAGATCAACCTAGACAGGGAAACTGGTGGTCTGTCAAGCAACTGGGGCTTATGCCAAGTAGAGTTTTAATAATGGTGGCCAGCACCTTAAATCTTACCTGCAAGCAAACTGGCACCAGTGCAACTCTCAAAGCAGAAGTGTTTCATGGGCATACTGAGGCACATTCATTGCTGCTCACATTGCTGCATTATGGACAGTGATAGGTTTCAATTTTTTTACTACCGGTTTTGTGGGCATGGCGTGGCTTGGTGGGCCTGGCTTGGTGGGTGTGGCAGGGAAAGGATACTGTAAAATCTCCATTCCCTCCCCACTCCAGGGGAAGGTTACTGCAAATTCCCCATTTCCTCTTGATCAGCTGGGACTCGGGAGTTAGAGAATAGATGGGGGCAGGTCCAGTCAGAGGTGGTATTTACCAGTTCTCCAAACTACTCAAAATTTCCACTACCAGTTCTCCAGGGTGGCCAGGGTGTGAATGATATCTGAAGGGAACCCCAATTTAGGAAAGGATACAACTAAGGTGCCAGTTGAAGCTGGTACTTCCAGGCCACCGCTACCTCCTACTCATTGATCAGGAGTTGTAAATTGGAAAAGACCCCCCAACTGTGCACCAGAAAGTGCCAAGTGATGGGGTAACAGGGGGGCAGTGGTAAGGGTTGGGGCAGCAGAAGCCCTCCACAACAGTCCCCGTTTCTCATGTGGCCGCTTAAATTAAATTAAATTAATCATCCACCCTTGATATAAAAGATATAACAAATTACCCATAAAAGGATAGGGTTTTCTTATCTTTTAAAATTAAAATACTGTCTGCTTTTCTTGAGGCACATAGTATATTTTCACCTCTCAATTGTTCCCCAGGGTCCCCCCCCCCGAAAAAAAGTAGCTATCATACACTTCAGGAAGGATAAAACAATTACTATTTCTTTGACTTCAGACTTGCCACATGAGCAAAAGATAGCCTCCAAAAGTTTTTCATTTCTCATAAGTTTTCAAACCCTCTGCATCCATCACTTGAAACATTAAAATACTAGGGGACGTTTCTATGATTAACGCAAAGACAACTTCGCAACCACCAGCAGTTAAGGGAGCAGGGAGAAAGCACTTAAACCAGACTTTCTGTAAGAGTTTTTTATCTCCTCCAAAGAAGCTCTAATGGCTGGATGTTATCTTCAGCATGGTCAACCTGTGGGGAAAAAAGTCATGCCCATTTGTAGATAAGAAAAAGAGACCTGGACACCAATAGTCTAGAATGTACACATATAAGTTCCACTTTTTTCGTTTAGAGTTATTGTTCAGCTTTGGCTAAATCACAGCCATTCAGTTTCATTCCCTAGTCTGTATAAAGGAAATCAGAGTAACTTAATTTACAGGATTGCTGTGCATGCAGATATAATTAGAAGGATGTAAAACACTTCACAGTCTAAAGTTGCTTTGTGAATTGAAATTGGTCATTTACTTGTCTTCATGCTGATTGCCTTCTGGATCTTTTTCGGTAATTGAGAATCCGTAGACTATCTTTTACAGTTGTTGCTGTTTCCTTTTTTTTTTTTAAAGATTTGCATAAAATAATGATCATTAATACCTAATTTTTAAACAGGAGGCCCAGAGGTAAAACAAGATACAGTAACATAGATTGACTTTTATTATGTAACAGCAACATAATAAATAAATTTATGAAGTCATATGGCCTTTACAAAAAGACAGAAAAGATATTGCACCAAGTTTAGGTACTGGCTATTTGGACTGAATATTTGCTAAAGAAAAACTGGGGCACTGCACCCAAAGTTAAGCAAATTTAAGTCCCTCTAATTTCAGTGGGGGAAAAAATAACTTGGTGTTAGAATCTTTCTCCTTGAAATCAATGGGACATTAAGGCTGCAATCCTTTACACATATACCTGGGAGTGTCTCCCATTGAATTCAGCAACATAATTCTGAGTATATATGCCTAGGATTGCGTTGGGCAGGGCTTAACTTTGCCTAGGCAATGCCCCTGAGAGTTATCCTCATTATATACATTTACAGAGTTAAGGCAAAACCAGATAACACTTTGAAAAGGACAGAAGGCTTGAGAAATAGATATCATTTTAAAATAAGAGGGAAGGATTTCCATCTCCACCTGATAAATTTAGCTATATCTAAGGAATGCATTCAGCTGATTTTTTTTAAGAAGTAGCTACTCTCAATCATTGAACTAAAAGTAAAGTCTAAGTGTGTGTTTTTTTTTAAAAGGGGACATGGCTGTTTTGCAGAGATTTGCCAAAATGATTATCTCTAACTCTGGTAAGCATTTTATTTAGCATAATAAACTCTTCATGGAACTAAAAAAATCCTTTCTATAGTATACAAATTCCTTTAGTGTTCAGAGAACATCCGACTCTGAATCTACAGATTTTCACAGGGCAGTCCTCTTTGAGTTTAACTATTTGAAGGAAAACATATTTGTGACTCTTCCAGAAACAGAATACATGAAAATTAATGCAGTCAAATGCTTATCAGTAACTCTTCCTTTGCAACCGAGAAGCATGAATTTATGTTAATTTTTAGCACAAGGGGGAACAAAGATATAATTCATATATTAATGAACAGTTCTTTGGCAGCTATGTGTTAATCTTGATTGAAGTTTTGATCCAGAAATTCTTAAATTATAGACCTGGTTGCCAGTCTTTTAAAAATGGAACTGGGGGATGGGAGGGAAGAGGCAATTATAATTATTGACTTCTCCCACAAATCCAATATGTCCAGTTAAGGAACTTGGAATGAATCTTGCAGGCAGCTTCATTCTGTAACATCAAGCATAGATACGTATTGTCTGCTTTTAAGTCTTGCTTCCAATGTCCCGTTTTTAGACACACAAAATTGGTTGAAATCTCAGGATAAATTCAAAGAGGGTCAAAATGCCATACGATAGAATCCAGATTTCACCCATGAGAAACCAAGAAAGAAAAATCAATCCAGAGGATGAGAAGATGGTCTTCAGAGAACAGAAGCAATGATTGGTCCACACCTAGGTGAAAGTCACAAGGCAATTGATTTTACAGGGGAAAGACCAAGAAGCCAGAAAACGTGGAATACTGCCATCCGCCAACCAGGTTACCTTTCTCCAGTTTAAGGTAGACCTTATCTTCCTTGTCTAGGTAGAGTAGGACTCCGTTTGTGGCAGCTTCACGAGTGACATCTTTGTCCCCAGCAAAAGCTGAAATGACTGGCTTCCCGTTAAGCATCAAGTTCACCTGCCAAAAATAATGATAATTTAAAAATCCTGAAAAGACTCAAGTTAAGACATAGCCATCCAATACTACTAAGGTTAATGGGAAGGGTCCTTAGAAGGCCAGTGCCACCTAGACATGGTTTGCAATTTCAACATCTTTTCAGAAGTAGCAGGAATAAACAATTAGGTAAATTGAATGTGGGAGGGACGGAAGTCGAAAGACAGACAGCAAACTGGTTGTAGGAATGAAAGAATATTTATTTGATTTCTATAGTCACTCTTCTCAAGAAGTGACTCTGGGTGGAATATATCCAGTGGTGGGATTCAGTTAGTTCGCACCTATTCGGGAGACCTGGTTGCTAACTTTCTAAGCAGTTTGGAGAACCAGTTGTTGGAAGAAATCTCATTTTGGTTTTTTTTTCACTTTACAGGTCTAATCCTATAAGAAAGGCAGGAAGGAAACATTCTGGTGTTGTTTTCAGCCTAATCTTTATTGCCCTGCTTACAGAAACTGCCTCTCCAGTTAACCCTTATTACATTGTAACCACTAAGGTGAAGCACCCATCGACTTGAGTGATGTTAAATTGGCCATGCCCACCCAGTCACATGACCACTGAGCCACGCCTACCCAGCTGGTCATTAGAGCAGAGAACCAGTTGTTAAATTATTTGAATCCCGTCACTGAGTATATCATAAAAAAACATTAGAAAATATGTATGGCCATAAATTATTGCCATAGGTTTTAATACAGCCGTGAAACAGAACCATTAGCATCCTCAGACCCCTAACCTGGTCTCATAACCAGGTTTTCATGGCGTTATGAAAGGCCAAGAAGATTAAAGTCAACTTAATCACTGAAGAGAGAATATTCCAAAAGGGCAGGATCTAGAACAGAGAAGGCACATCTCTTGGTCCTCCCCAGTATATTCCTCCTTCTGTCTTGCTATTATACTGTGGCTTAGCTATGATCTCAATATTATTTAAGAAAATTATAAAATTAATCTAAAAATTGGTATGCTATACTTTGCTTGCCTTCCTCTACTTTTTCAATAGCTCCTTAACACTGACTTAGACCTGCAACTGTACATGTGCAAAGATTAAATTATGATTCATTTATCTTCCTATCAAGATAATTAGATTCATCTGTCTCTACATGTGCATAAACTGATGGGTAAGTGGAAATCTAATAGAGAGGTGTGGACATGAGATCCAGCAAGGTTTTTCTTAGATTCTTATGCTCACGGTTGAAAGCTTCCCAGATGATATATCATTATAGAATTAGAAGGCATACCAAATCTAAATCATCCCACATTCCATGCAAATATCTAAATTAAGATTCTGTGACAAATAGTTATCTACCTCTTCGAACATATCATGATAAAGGGAACCCACCATGTTGTTTTGATTGTTGACCCTTTATAGAATTTTTTTCCTGATGGTCAACTGGAATTTGCTTTGCTGTCATTTGAACCACACATTCAAAAGAAAAATGGTATGCTATCCTTTCAAAGGAAGGTTGAATGGTGGCCTAGAGGTTAAGACGGAGTTCCCCAATCTTTCTGGCTTTGTGGACCAGCAGAGGATGGAGACGTGATAGTTCTGGGTGAGTGGCCAGCAAGTGCATGCACACAGCTTCATTTGTGGTAGTGGTGGGCATGTGGGCTTGCCGCACAAATGGAGCACACATGCGCTCACATGCCTATAACTTCTGTGGACCAGTTCTGAACAGCTCACAGCCCAGTAGTGGCCTGCAACCTGGTGCTTGGGGACCTCTGGGTTAAAATACTGGACTTTTTGACCAGAAGGTTGGCAGATCAAAACCCAAGTACTGCATGATAGGGTGAGTACCCATTCTTGTTTCAGTTCCTGCCAACTAACTGTTTGAAAGCAGGCAAATGCAAGTAGACTAATAGGTACCACTTTGGTGGGAAAGTAACAGCATACTGTGTGACGTGGCATATAATCATGTTGGCCATATGTCTTTGGACAAGGTTGAGTGCCTCAACTAGGAAACAGAGATGAGCACTTCCCCCTATAGTTGGAAACAACTGGACAGGGAAAATCTTTATCTTTTTATTCTTTTAAAAAGCTGGTAAATATTTTGGCAGTATAGCGTTTTCCAGAGAGGAAACAGTAAATTCCATCAGAGAAAAGCCCAAATTTACAAACTGGATAGACCTGAGCAGGATGGGGGAGAGGGGAAGAGGTTCAGAGTTGCCATATTCTAGAATCTCTCAGGAGAGCCAGTTTGACCTTGTAGTACAGGCATTAGGCTAGAAAGCAGGAAACCATCAGTTCAAATGCTTTCTTATCTATGAAAGCCAGCTGGCTGATTTTGGGGCTGTCATTTTCTCTTAGCCCAACTTACCTCATAAGCTTGTTTTGGGACAAGTAGAAAGAGGAAAATATTTGTATATGTTCACTATCTTGAATTATTTGTTAAAGTAATAAAAGCGGGATAGAAATAAATAAAATAAAAATATATAGTAGATTAGAAAGGGAATATGCTGGAACTCAGTTACCAGAATTCTGCAACCATCATGCTGGCAAGAAATTTTGGCACTGCAATCTCAGCAGCTCTGAATAAATCTTCAGAGAGCACCAAGGACCCCTCATTTCAACCCTTTATCAGTTTCAATTCTCCTTTATCAGTTTCAATTCTTGCTGCACCAACATTTTCCTCCAAAAAAATCATTCTTTCATGGGTGCTTGATTTTTGAAAAATTGCAAAACAACCCTCTTATTAATATGTTCATGAAATGCATAGACAAATTTACAAACATAACTTTGCCGCATCTGCCATCAACAGCATATAAAGATAATGGAGGGAAAATGTTCCTCAGTAAAAATGTAATACACACACACAGACAAAAAAAAACATATTATATTTATTATGTATTGTGTTGTGTTGTATTATATTGTGTTGTGTTATATTATATTGTATTATATTATATTGTATTGTATTGTATTGTATTATATTATTATATTATATTATATTATATTATATTATATTATATTATATTATT